CATTTTTGATAACATATATATTGTGTATAACCATCATATATAGGAGCAGACCAAGTGTCAAGTTGTGTAGAGACTAGTGTCTAAACTAACAAAAATTCATTTTTTTTAATCGAATACTACAACACAAATAGTTTTTAGTAACATTTGAAAAATGTTACTTAATTATGTATAAATATTACTAATTTACTTTAGGAACATATTATCAAATGTTGTATATAGTCCATGTTACTAAAGACTTTTAATAACATTTTTATATAATTAGGCAACATTTTTCAAATGTTAGCAAAGTAGTATTTTTGTAACATTTTAATGATGTTGCCAATATTTTGTTAATTTTATAAAATAATAATTAATTTTAATTTAGATATATTACTATTAATTATTATATTTTTATGTCTTTTAAACTCCTAGAAATTCTTTGAGAGAAAATTAAACACTCTTAATTAGTTACCACTAATTATATATAAAATATCAAATTTCATTTATCTTAAGTATAACTATATGGTTATGTATACTCTTTATGAGTTATTAATTTATTCGATGTGAGACTTTAATTATGGGTAACAATTAGAGATAAGAGAAATATATTTTTTTTATTCGATGTGCGATTTTGATTTTAGAAGCAATTATAGTAACATTTTAAAAAAAATGTTGCAAAATAACTTATATGAAATTTTTTTACTCAATATGAGACTTTGATTTTGAAAACAATTAGAAAGAATAATGTTGAAATAAAAAATGTTACTCTATTTATAATGACATTTTAAAAAAAAAAAAGTGTTGTAAAATAACCTATTTGTTTAATATATAGTAACATTTTAACAAATGTAAACAAGAAAATGTTGCTAAAGAATTAAAATCTAGTAGTGATAACATGTGTTTATACTTAAATAAATAAATTAAAAAAGAAAAAGGGAGGAGGTGTTCGTGTTCACATTGTCTGTCAGAGATGCAAGTGCGAGAACTAAACACAGTGCTATCAGAATTTTTAGTCCGCGTTGGCAATGTTCATAGTCTGGCACTTGCACGTGCTTATTGAACTGTCTCAATAGTTTCATTAGTCATTTACAGAGTATAGGTAATTGTTCCAGATTTTTCTGAAGAATGATGGACCACAACATGTTATCTTATTTAGTTAAACATTGATCATCCATAAATAGCCTCCCTGGCAAGTTAGGTTCAGCTTATTATTGTCTTAGAAACGCTTTTCCTTACCATATATATATGATCTAAGATACACTGTATTTACACGCTTGAAAATGACACAAAATTTAGATATTTAAAATACCGTTGCAGTATTGTTATGATGTTTACTGTGAATGCAATGCGTGGCATTGATTCTACAGTTATATATCACTTATCAGAGTCCACATGGATGTTTGTTTTTTTGCATATCTGGAAATATATGGTGCATTGCGACCTCTTTATTATAACACCTTTCATATTATGTTCTTTCTCTCTAATCATATATACATGCCTAACATTTATCAAGACAGTTCCAACTAAAATTGAAACGCTCATAAATTCTATACCTATCACGGGGAAATTATTCTAATCTTCTTGGAGTGGTGATCCCTTTGATGAGTCAAAATCACATTGTAAAACCAGTTAACACATTACATTGAAGTTTTCACTTTCTCAAGGCTGGAAATGGTTTCTTTTTTATTTTGAGAAAAACCATGATTTCATTCGAGAAAAGAAGAATCCTCAAGGGTTATTACATCGCGGCTTACCAAAGAAAAGCCTCGCGGTGGAATCTCATCAAGCCAAAACCTATCATAGAAATTGACAAATAATGATTAATCAACTGCATTGATCTTGACTAACTTATTCCGTATAACAACCTTATATATGAAAATTGACAAATAATGATTAATCCACTGTATTGATCCTGATTAAACATTATTTCGTATAATAATCTTATATTTTATTATATATCTAACTAATTCTTTGTGTGTGAAAATTGATAAATAATGATTAATCCACTATATTGATCCTCCTGACTAACAATTATTTCGTATATAATAAACTTGTATTATACTATATTGATTCTTACTGATATTGTGTGCATGAGTTGTGTGTGAAAATATAAAAATAATGACTAATTCATTATATTGATCGTGACTAACCATTATACTGTATAATAATCTTGTATTTTACTACATTGATTCTAATTTATATTGTGTGTGTACATTGATCATGACTAATATGGTATGTGTTGTGTGTTAAAATTGACAAATAATGTACTAATCCATTATATTGATCCTAACTAACCATTATTCCATATAGTAATCTTGTATTTCACTATATTAATCCTTACTAATACGCTCTTGTGTGTGTGAGAATCAAAATTGATGTCGAAAATTATTAGATGTTTAGGATTTCATTTATATAAATCAAAATTGATGTTAAAAATTAATAGATACTTCATTTATATAAATCAAAATTGATATAATATATATAAATAAGGTATATAATAATTTCTAATCAATATTTCTATTAAAATTTAATAAAAAAAATACTCTTCAAATTTATTCTTTCTTTTTCAATTATTTTTTTTTCATATGTTTTCTTTTCACTCATCTCTTATTTATGTTACCATCTTTATTCTTTTCCTTCATATTCTATTTTCTACTGTCATCTCTCTCTCTCTCTCTATATATATATATATATATATATCTTTTCTATCCATAATTCTACTACGTTAGTTTTTCTTGTATTTTTTCCTCGTTTCTTCTGTCCAACAAGCAAAAGACTTGACCTCCATCTTCATTATATTTTAAACTATTTTTGTACACTTTCATTTTTATGATTTTTTAAATCTTACTATTTCAACTCCTCATCTTCATCATTATTAAAATCCTTTACATTTATTTTCTTTCCTAAGTATGATTTACTTAATAAAATTACTTTTAGGTAAACATACTATTCAAAAAAGCATTCACTACAAATAAAATAAGATAAAATAATCTATACTTACAGATATTTTGTTCTTAATACAAACTTGATTGTGTGTAAAATAATAAATTACTTTTACGAATAAATATTTAATTTATGTAAAACTTAAATACTTTTACTTAAAATTTATTTGGGTACAATCTAAAAGTATTTTTGAAAGTTTCTCTATTAAAAAAAGCTCTTTATTTTCAATAGATAAACTCTAAAAAATACTTTTATCTTATATCTAAACAAGCTCTTACAAGTGTTTATTATAGATAAAAGATTAAATAAATTTTTCATAAACTAAAACTAGTTTATGCATAAACTAATTTATAATTTTTGAAGAAGTTATATCAGAGGACTTCAACAAACCGATTTATGAATATACTAATTTATTTCATTTTTCTTTTATATTTTTTTCTTTTATAAGTACTTATGAAGAAGTTTATTCCTTTTCAAAACCAAACATATATTATTCCAAAAAGTAATTTTAGAATGAGAAGATACAAATGAATAAAATTGTAGAGAAGTTTTTGGAGAAAAAAGAAAGTGAAGGAAAAGATAATAAAGTAATTTTATATACTAAAAAATAGAGATGGGAGTTCTATCCAGTAAATAGGGAGGTATGAATAGCAAAAACCTCTTTATTATTCTTCCTACCCACTAACAAGAACTATAAAGAGATCTTTATTTAAAACTTTAAGCTATTGGGTATATAAGTTACATCTGTTTTTTTTTTTTTTTTCATTGAGCCCTTTCTTAAATGTCTCACTAATTACTCGCACTTTATTTTCTAATAGCTAGGTAATTGCATGAATTATTAGATTCAAATTTCAATGTCATCATTGTACCGACAAATATATATATATAATTAATAATAATAATATAATTAAAAAAAATTAAAAAAAGAAGAAAAAAAACTTCTTCCTTTTAATGCATGATGTAGCCAGTGAGGTCACCAATGTTTTCTTTTGTGCTCTCGTACTCATTCATTTCCTTTTTTCCCTTGCACTTGATGTTGAATTTTGACCATTTGAACGATATGAGTAAAGGCCTCGAGACATGATGTTAAGTCTTGTGGTACAGAATCAATGGGTTATGGGGAGGAGCCTCATATATTTTACATTATTATTAAATGATCAATATATACCATGTCTCTCTTTAATCCATTGGCTCAACTGCATCCCATTGCCTTTTCTCTTCCTCAAAACTAATGCTAAGTCATCAAAAAGGGGGCAATGACATCGACTTCTTGAACAAACCTTGAGCATTCGATGTGACTGTGTTCCAAAAGTTAGGTTGGTTGAGGCTACTTTATCCAGATTTTAATGGCCGGGAGTTTTATGATGCTAGAACTTGAATAGATAGCTAATTATTGGATGCAAAGGGAAAACAAGTGGACACAAAAAATCCAAAAAAAAAATTGCAATCGGTAAATGAAAACAAATTAAAGTGGAGGGAAAACTTCAGAGTTAATTCTTTCTCATGCACCAGTTTAATTTTATTTCCACCTATTTACAAATTTTCATTTTCAAATATCTTTAGTATTTGACAATAATTTGCTTTATTAAATGTAAAGAACAATTACACCTTAATCTGACCAGTGTTGTCTGATTAGTCAAGCACATTTACTTCATGAGGACATAAATGCGCGTACATGTTGGCTCTGCTTCTTGATCCAAGTCTTTGCTGATGTTTTTATTGCACAGCTAGTCTTATTCATTTCAAAGTGAATTTAGTGCATTCTGTTGCCTTGTTTGATTAGTCCCGTACCAACTTAGCTGAGTAAGACCCTTCACCATAATATAAGGATCATGCTAAATTGTTATGTCACACGTACATTTTCTACCTTTAAGGCACATTTATCTTGGTTTAGACATGCATGTCAGCCTTCTAGCTGGATTTGCCTGCGAGTTAATGATTCTACAACAATATACCATTACTGCATGCTTCATTGAAAATCAATGCACCTTATGATCCCATGTGCAACATTCACATGTCCATCTGCCATACCTACATCATACTCATAGCGACGCACACTGTATATATGTAATAAAAGCTTTCAGGAAAAAAGAAGTACTAACTAGCTTTCAGGACCGACCCAATAACAGTAGTTATGATTGGTATATATCAAAATAACAAAATATACATAAACTATAATATTTTTTTTTTCTTCTTCTTATCAGCCACAATCATCAGTTTTTATTTCTATCATAATTCTATGTGTTTTGGAAACACATTGGGCACCAATACAGAATAATTAATCAAAAGGGTAAACTTTGTCCCTCTCTCTATTTCAAGCTTTCTCCTTAGATGGAACTGTCCCATCTGTTCCTGCAAGCATGGCATATTTGCTCTTCCTTGTCAAATTGGTGCACTCAAATCCCAAAGTCCCTGCAAGAACCCTTTGAATGTAGTTTGCAACTTCAATTGGTGATTTCCCTCCACTGCATGTGAGCTCCTTGGGAAGCTGGTTCAAGAAAGTGATCTCATATGTGGGCATGGGATTCATGAACACAAAGTAGGGGTCCAACAACTTGTGACCACGAACCGTTGTCCCATAAAACACACTTTGCTTTGTGTTAATAGCAACTGGGACAATCCTATCAGTGAGTTCAGCGAAAAGTGCACTGAACCTTAAAAGGAATGGCTCTCTGCAAGTTGTACCTTCGGGGCAAATCACCAGGTCCCCTTCTTCAAGGAGTCTCTTGATGTTGGCAGCATCTTTCTCTCTTTCCAGCAACTGGGACAATCCTATCAGTGAGTTCAGCGAAAAGTGCACTGAACCTTAAAAGGAATGGCTCTCTGCAAGTTGTACCTTCGGGGCAAATCACCAGGTCCCCTTCTTCAAGGAGTCTCTTGATGTTGGCAGCATCTTTCTCTCTTTCCCTAGAGAGGGCCACAGCTTTAATTGGTGAAATGATTTCAGTGAACTTGCTTATGCTGTATGTGACACAGCTGATTTTTCTTCCAAGTGCAACTGCAGTAACCACAGGGTCTAAAACTGTGCGGTGGTTACAAACAAATAGGACTCCACTTTGGCCTTTCTTAGGGGCTGGTGGAGGGGTACCCTTCACAGTGACCCTGATTCCCAATAGCTTATAGTTGTACCAAGCAATTCTTTCAGGCAAAGGGATGTTGAGGTAGACCCTTAGGATGGAGAGTATGATGCCAATTGGAAGCCATAGGAAGGTCAAGAGGGCAGCTAGAGGAGTTGGCCTCTGAGCAAACCTACCCTCATGAAAAATAATTGGACTTAAAAGCTTGTTTCTTGGTAGTGGTTCACATTTAGTCCTTGGCACCATATACCCTTCCTGCAAGGGAAAATACAGTTAATGACTTGATTGGACACTTAAGAAATGTTAATTAGTAGAAACTCTTTTTCATATGTAGGAATTAAACTTAGAACTAAACAGATACAACAATTCAAGCACACAACCTAATTAACAGAACTAGACTCTTTTATATAGGATAAATTTCTTCAAAAATACTCAAAGAGAAAAAAATATATAAATAAAATAAAAAAATATTTTTTATGAACTAAAATTAATTTATATATAAACTAATTTGTAAAATTTGACTTTTATCAACTTCTTTCAAATCTTATTTTTAATTTATGTGTAAGTCAATTTTAACTTATAAAAAAATTTATTTCTATTTCATTACTATTTTTTAAAAAAATATTTCAAGAGAAATTTATCTAGATGACTATAATAACACCATTTAAGTCACTCTTCATGATTTGGTTAGCAAAAAAATGATTTTTTTGACGTTGACTTGGGAAAGAGGAGAAAAATAGAAACAGAGGAAATGTAATAGATGTGATAAAAAGGAAAGGGAGAGAGACAGGTGTAAAAATTGAGATATGAAAAATTTAAGATTGCTTGGTTAATATGTGTCCCACTAAGAAAAAGAGGGTGGACCCAATTTTATTTATTTATTTATTTTTTTGTTTCAGCTCGTATGAAATGCAGGCAACCGTAAATGATATGTTAGAAAAAGTGTGATGATGACAGTGTCCTTTTGATACACATTGAAAGTACTAATAATAGCATTGTTTCCCCAAAATTCATTTGTCTTCTGCTGAACACAATTTAAACTGGTAACCTTTCATTAAGTTTCTAATGATGGTTCTCTAACTCCGGAAACTATCACAAAATTGATCTAGGATACTAGATATGTACTTTCAAGATTTCATAGCAGCTCTTTGCTAAAATTACTCAAGGGTTGAAATTATTTCCATGATTCCCATATTTAAAGGGGACGAAATCGGCAAGTACAATTGAAATTTTTTAGATTAAGTTGACAGGGAATGTCACAAGGATATTGTGCTTACTAAATAAATGATGATATGCTATACAGGGATGTGTTATACACCTTTTCATATCTTTTACATGAGCTATAAACAACAGGGGTTGGATTTTGTGTTAAAAGTGGGTTGAGCATGAGAAATTCATGCATGGTAATCTGGATTCCCCAATTTGGAAACTGATTTTGATTTATGCATGAAAAACAACAAATGAGGAAACCTATAATTTATTAGTGTTTAAAAGTAGTTAAGGGTTATGACTCCAGAGAAAAAAAAACCCATGAACCTAAAAGCCAGAAGCATACAGCTCTCAAAACTGAGGCTGTTATAAGTTGTATACATAAATTGGCTATAGAATGCATGGGACCACTTACAAGTTAGTAAATATATGGAAAAATAAGGGATAAAATGAAACAAGGAGAGGGATTTATAAGTGCCGCCAGAGATAGATACACGCAAAACAGGAACAAGAAGAGAGGCTCATAATAGGTGACAACAACGTGTCGCGCTCATTATTAACGCTCTCACCAAACATGTATTCAATTTTACATAAATTATACTACTATTTTATTATGAATTAAAAAACTATTATATAGCTCTATCGAGCTATGAATTAGAATGTCCACGAACGCAAAACTGGATCCTTCTTCCACAATAATAAAATTGATCATGAGCAAATGAAAACAACATATAGTTAATGTTTATTCAATCATTATCTCTTACATATTTTCTCCATACTTGCCAATTTTCTTTTCTTGAGTATTCCACACTTGGTAATGCTGTATTTTTATGCACTCATGTCTTTTGAAGGCCTATATTACTAGCAATTCATCTTTGAAGCTATTTAAGAGTCATCAACACATAGTAACAAATTAGTATTAATATTGAACTTCTAAAGAAGTACTTGTATGAAGAAGAAGAAGAAAAAAACATGAAATGAATTAAGTTTCATTAAAAATTAACTTATGCACTTTACTTTTATATAATTCTCTTATTTTAAAGTTTATCCAAAAACTTATTTTTTAATTTATACAACAAAAAAAAAAAAAGATTTCCATTACTTAATTTTCTTATTTAATTTCTTTCATTATAAATATTTATCGAAAAGTTAGTCATGCATATAACCATAAGTTAATTTTCATTCTAAACATGTTTAGTAAAAAGAAAAACATGATTAATTAATAATGGACCAACCTTGCAAATAGACATGAAGTCATGATCACTTTTACTATCCCCTAGTCCCAAGTCAGGTAAATCATCTTGAAACTCCTTAACAACAGCTTCTTTCTTATGCACCCCAACAAGCACCCCAGGCTCCTTAACAAACCCAGTGAACCTCCCCGACTTGGTAACCTCAAGTTCGGTCCCAAGCACCTTATCAGCTCCCATGAACGTCTTAACAAATGGCTCCACCATCACCCTAGGGCTGGCAGTGACAATGTACCGCTTCCCAAACGCGTTGAACACGTTCCACGCGTCAGGACGCACGTCCTCCGCGTAGAACTTGGGAAGTACCGACCTCGCCACCATCTCAACGTCCCTGGTCTTCAGGCCTGCAAAGGCGATGAAGACCAGGGTCTTGATGGCGGCGGGCTCGGAGACAAAAAGGTAAGTGAAGTAGACAAAGGGGACGGTGGAGAGGAGGACGAGGCCGCGCAGGAAGCTGCCGGCCTCGATGGCGACGAGCATGTAGTAAGGGAAGGCGCTGCGGGAGAGGAGGAGGGTGCCATCGAGGTCGGAGGCGACGGTTTGGTGTGATCGTTGGTCGGTGGTGCATTTGGAGATTGGTTGGAAGTGGTGGAAGGCTCCCATGACCATGGAAGGGAGAGGGTTAGAGGAGGAAGAAGGGAGAGTGAGGTTTGGTTGGTGTGGTGGTGGGGAAGAAGAGGGTAGCCAGCTTTGAAATGTTATGAGGAGAGAGGGAGGGAGAGGAGGGGGTTTTAAAAGGAGAGGAGGGGATGTTGTTGAACCATTTTTTAGTATCAATTTATAATGGGTATAATATGCTCTATACACATCATACTTTCTATAGTTTTTATTTTGTTGTGTTAAATATTATAAGAAAAGACTTTTATTTTTATTTTATTTTGTCTACAATGATCTAATTTTACTCAATTTTATCAATATTGTTTTCTATAAATGTTATAGTATCTTCAAGGAAAAAAATATGAACAAGTAGATTTATACTAAAGTATTAACTCATGCAATTTACTTATATACTTACACTATAAAAAACTTGTCATATAATAACATATATCTTATAATAATAATATAATATGTGTCATTAAAAATTATTTTTATCTATATAATAAATATAATATATATTAGTATATTATTAAAAATATAAATATAAATTATAGTGATACATAAAATATGTTATTAAATTTTATTTAAAATTATTACTAAAATTATATGTAATATATGTTGATAGATGTATCATTACATATGTTATATTTATAATGATATTTTTTATATGTCTATAACTTTAGTTGTTTATTATATATTTTGTTTATCTTAATTACAATGACAACGACATATTAAATTTAAGATTTGAAACATACTGTCTTATTTGAAAAAGATTGTTTTTTATTAAAAAAAAATATACGTAGTCTCTATCTAAAAGAAATCAACGAGTTAGATTACGAGTTTTCTGCCATCGCAGATAAAGATTCAAATTCTAGTGGGAAGACGCATCGCATTTCGTGTTTCACAATTGAATAAAAATATCCAATGCGTGTTGAAACTAGAAATATAATATATAGTTTTAAAGGGAAAGGTAAAAGAGGAAGGGAGTTAGGACTTTTTGTCCCATTTGTCTCTTATTTATTATTCTGTACGTAGAAAATAATATTTATTAACTTATTATCAAAATTTTATATAATGCTTCTTTTTTTTTCCTGGAAGAGAAGTGGTAGAATGAAAACACAGCTGCGTGTCATTGACGTGTGAAAGTTGTTAAACGTTAATATATTATATAATATAATTAGTACCAGGTGAATAGTTGAGTTTATAATTTATTGAAAGGGTTTTATTTATTTTTTATTACAGACATTTATATGTAAATATTTTGATAGAAAAGATATAATTGAGGTCGATGGTTATTATATCTTTAATTATTAAGAAATATCTTCGGTATACACATGGGAAGTAAAGATAATGAAAGTAATATATTTAAAAATATAAATTATATCGTAAAATTTAACAAAGAGTGTACATTACTGCATTTAATTTGAAAATCCTTGCGGTAATTAATTAAGTAGGGGAGTTAGGTTGATATATATATATATATATATATGGGTGAATTTATATTTTAAAATTTTGGATAACACAGAGAAATTTTAATTATAATAATATAAATGCGTAATTGACAGTTGTCGACTATTATTAAATTCTTCAGTCAAATAAAGAGATGTAAATTGTTTTTCTTAATTTAACAACACGTATATTCAACATAAATTATATAATATTTAAAAGAATATCTATGTACATAAAAATAAATAAAAATAAAAAACTCCATGTAAATTTTATTTATATAAAAAAAATGAGTTTTTGTACAAGCAATAACAAATCTAGGAGCAGAGTTGTTTGGTTGGCATACAAAAACCTCAAAATTTACAAGAGGGACCGGGGGAGGGTCAAGTAATGAATGATAACTGATGAATTAATTTTCATTTTAAATTAAAGTGGTTGAAAATGTAAATAAAATTGAAAGTACAAAATTAATGGGAGAAAGACATTGGCCAAGAGGGAAAAAACAATTGCATAAAATGAACTTAATCTCACAAAATCAATGAAACTTATTGATGAGTATTTATTTTTCAACTTGAATTTTCTATATTATTTAGAATTTAAACTCTAACCATTTAATTAAACAACATGAATTTTTTATCATTTACATCAACCTAAGTGGATAGATAAATATAAAGTTGAATTAACGTGCATAACCGTATGATATTAAAAATAAAAGTAAAATGAACAGGAAATAGACTAAAGTGTAGCATAATTAATTAATATATCATATGCTTTCACATGTCTAAGATTAAATTTAAAAAAAAAATATCTATCTATATATTAATAAATGACTCTACATCTATTGGTGTGGGAGACTAACATAAATTTTTAATTGAGTCGATGTGCTATACTATTCTCAACGTCCGTCAAACTTTTTCTTCTCTATAATTACCTTCATTCAATAAGGTATCATTAACTTGAAGAAACTTACATATCTCTTCTACCATAAGAAACTAGTAGTAGCCATGATATTTCATTAAATATATAGGATTTGTTCTCTCTCTCTCTCTTTCTTTAATCGATGATATTTAGGATTAGTGACAGGAGCAAAAAGAAAGTAATTGAAAATTTTGCCAGAAATTGTTAGATACACCAATTGTAAAGACTAACCCATGTCATCTATAAGAATTACGCAAACTATCATTGTTTTAATTGGAATTATAGTATTTAATCTTTCCATTATTGTATATGATAAATGCTATTTTATAATTAAAAATTATAATAAATAAATATTTTAAATATATAAATTATATTTATATTTATAAACATTTTATATTATGATATAATGTTATTTTTTAATTTTAAATGTGTATACTTTTAAAAATATTGAAATTTATTTAAAAACTAAAATAAGAAAGTTCAACCGGAAGCTATGAAAATTGAGAAAAATCTAAGGAGAAAAAACCTCCTTCCAAAAATGTATTATTTAAGAAAATTAACTACTAATGTCCATGGTCCGATTCTATGTCATCAAATTTCAAAATCTTAAATATTGAATTTGATAATAAAAAATTAATATTTAGAAAGATTTCTTAATACAATAAAGATTTAGAGAGTAATTTTTGACAAAAGTCATTCAATATTTCTATTAATATATGTATCAAGCTTTTTTTATTTTTTATTTATAGAAAATCAACTATAAATGTCGAATATAACTTCTAAAAACATCATGATGATAACAATTTAAAATAATAAAAAAAGAAGTACGAGTTAAGTATTCCTTAGGGAAGAAGTATATAATTTATTACTTTACTTTAAAAATCTTATGGAACGCTAACTAAGAAAGTAGCAGACTAAAAACCGAAAAAAGAAAAGGAAAGAAAGTAGAGACAAATGGAAATAAAGAAAAGTTGAAAGCGAAAGAAATGTTATAGGTGGCATCGTGGGAGTGGGGGAATCAAAATGGAAAAAGGCGCGTGGTGGAGCGCGTAGAGTTGGCGTCGCAATATGACAAAGCTTTGACGGTCAGCACAACCTCTCCTAGTTCGTACCTCACTTTCCCCAACGCGAAGTGGGACCCACTCAGCTCACCCAACTTCGTGCGCGTGTCTCAACTGTGTGATTAATTGCTTAACGAGAGACATTAATTTAAGACACTTGATGAGAAGAATCCATCGGATAAGTCATTGCGCGTGTGGCAGCCCCGGCAGCGATGGACGCCGTAGCAACAGGTTCGGTGCTGAACAAGTCCGGGAGCGGAGGTTCGGAGCGAAGCGAAGACGGAGGAGGGATATTTGAGTACTTTGGTTGGGTTTACCATTTGGGAGTCAATTCCATTGGCCATGAGTATTGTCATCTACGATACCTCTTCATTAGGGGCAAGTATGTTTACATGTACAAGCGTGATCCTAACAATAACCCTGGCGTCGTATGCTTCTTCTTCCCTACTTTTACAATCTGTTACTCTTTTTTCTTTTTTGCCTCCTAGTAAAATGAATTATTCTAATCACTTGTTACCATGAATGTAGCTTTGCTGCTCATGAATGAGACTTTCGTACTTTGATTAATTTGTTTATACAATATATCGGTGGCGGAATGCATGTATTGCATAAGAATGTTGATTATATGCTGCGTTCGGTTTGCTAAAATTTGAAATTAGTAATTGGAAATGAGATCATTAGCAGGATCCGAGGCTAATCGATGCAGCATTTAGCTAATTATCTTCGGAATGAATTTGCGAATCAAGTCCTAATTGCACAAATCTCATTGAATGCGTTATGGATATGTGCGGATGGTGCTGCATAAACAAATAGAACCAGCAGGTCTTTTTGTAACAATGTCTGCTTCCAGCTTAGATCTGTGGTTCCAAATCCCAAATCATTATCGAAATTAATCATCTTCAACTTTGGCCAAGTGACACAGATGGATAATCTTTTTAAGAATACTCAATTGGCAAGGTGAAGAAGTCTTAGTGACTCCTAGGCCAATTGAGAATAAGATCAATGAACCTACTCCCGCTTCCTTAAATTTTTGTTTATAAAAGAAAATATTTATTGTGATAGATTATTAATCAGTGATGTTTAATTGAGCTTAGATACTTGTTTCAAAATGTTTTCATAATTTTTTTTTCAAATGTGGGTAATAATGCTATTTCACTTGCTAATTTTCCGTTTCTCCTTGGCCTTTATTCTTTTATCTCTGTTTTTTCAATAATAAATAGTTAATTTTTAAAGTTTCCTCCGTGCAGAAACCCATCAGGCAGGGAGTTGTAGGACCCACACTAATGGTGGAGGAGCTAGGTCGTCGAAAGGTCAACAATGGGGTAAAATACTATTTGTATTTATGGAATTAAACTGATTGTGCAGTTGTTTTGATTGAATATTCTCTCTGAGGCTTGACGCATAACAATATCTTATGATTTTTGAGGTACATACATGTTTGCTTATGTTATAAATTTGATGGAAGCTAAATGTTTTCTGTTTTCTTTCCCAGGAACTTTATGTTTTACGGTTTTACAATCGATTAGATGAGGCCAAAAAGGGAGAAGTAAGTTATGTTTTGAATTGCATATTCTAATAATATTGGGTACTTGGTAGTGATAAAAAACTGTATCTGTCTGTCTACATACCTTGTTGCATGCTTTTCAACAAGTATAATGTACAACAGCTTAATAAGAATTCAAGATTGATCTTGTCACTTGTTATAGAGTATAAGACAGGAGCATAAACTTC